TATATTTAAGGAAATAATAAAAAAAAACTTAACCTTTTAATGAAAACAAGAGCAAAATTGAATGTCTACTTTAAGAATGGAGGCGTACAAGGCCATGTCTATCCCCTGCTCTGCGAAAAGACATATCTCAATTCTAAAAGTTAATGAAAGCTATACTTATTAAAATTATATGGTTTATATCATATTTTACACATTTAATTCTGTACTTCATTGTTTTGATATTTTATTATTAACTTATTTTTTTACTCACGTTTTTAAAATATGTGAAAACAAAAAGAAAAAGCTTTACATATGATTCGAACTCTCTCCATGGCGCAGGGTTTGCACAAGACCGACCGTGTTTACCACTACGCTACGTCGTACGAAGTATATGCGTTATCTTTGTCTTTGAGTGTGATTTAAATGAACGGGTTTGTTGAAGCGTACATTTTTTTGCAGAAAAATTCGATTTTCAAATAGAATGGGCTCAGATTTCGTTTTTTAGACAATGAAATAGATTTCACATTTTAACATATCATTGAAGCGAAGTAAACCCATTTTCAACTAAATATGCTTCACTGTCAACTTTGAAATAACAAATGTGAAATGACAAGTCGTTTTGTAAAATAAAACAATAAAAATTTTTGAAGATGACGTTACGGAGAACATGAATTTAGAAAAATATAACTTTTCCGTGAAATTTGAAATTTTGAAAATTCAGAACATATTTTCTCAGAGTGGGGGATTGTTTCAAGTTTTAAATGTGTTTGGACTTTACTATCAGCAAAATTAATAATCGTTCAAAATGGGATTCCTAGCACAATCAGAATTTCAGGGAAAACAAACATGTCATGGGGAAAAATCAATTATGGGGGGGGTAACGATTGTAAACTTTGTTCTCGTCAAAAGAGTACATTGGTGAATGGGATGTTTAAAGACATTAACGTTCTACATTCATATTTGTTGAACCGTGATGCTATTTAGAATGAGAACGATGCAGTGGATGATATTATTTATTTTCTATCAGTAATTTAACTAACAGGAGCAATTTATGCATGTATATTTTGAACAATTTTTCTTTATATGAAAAATACATGTATTATGTATATTCGAACACTTGTACTTCAACTTTTAGCATCATCGTCGGATACTCACGGCTCATAACGTCTAAACTCACTAATCGTGGACCGCTGAAATATCGCCGTAAAATATGCTAATGTGTTTTTTTTTATAGACAACCAGTCAGAAGGTTGGAATTCTTCAATTTTCTGAAAATACGTTATTTTTTTCCATTGATTAGAAATATGTTGACGCACGTGCGAAGTTTAATTTAGAACGACTAAAGGCAATTCAATATATTCACTGACGTTAAAACAAGTCAGATTTTACATTCTGAATATATAGAGAGTACCTCTTTCAAATCTGCAAAATGCACAGGTGAACGGACTTATTAGCAATCGGAGTGTTACCTACGGAAAAAAATTGAGCAACAGCCAATCAAATGATACACACAAACTAGTTACATACGACGATTTTTCGGCGAGTTTGTCCACTGATAATGAGTTAAGAGTAAGATCACACGTGTGGGTATCCGACGATGGGTGATAATTTGACAGTATGTACAGCTCAACGCACTTTTTAAATTCACATGGTTTTTGCATAAATTAAGGTCACATAGCTATAATGTAAAATTGTGTAATATGACAACAAAATATATTTTAAAAACGATTTATAACTTAATTTTGATCATATTCCATTACTTTAAACATAATTCACATATAATAATTGGTAGGATTTTTATATACTCTTGGATGATATAAAATGAGAGTTTCCAAATGTTTCATGGTTTTTCGTCAAATGCAACCATCTTTGTATCCGTTCATTTTAAAGCATACTTTTGCCTTGCCTTAATACAGAAACAGTGCAGTTCATGTATCCTCTGTACTTTCTATACATTAATATGACACTAAAGTGCAAGATGGAAGAAGTATTTCTCATCTGCTCGACTGGTTTCCATGGTAGAACTGCACACTTTTAACATCATACAATTTATGGATCAATTCCTTTTTAGAACATTGACATTTAAAACTTTAGATAATGATTTGAGAGAATATGTACCTTAAACATAAAATATTTAATAATATAAAGATTATGTCTCGTACTGAAACTCGATAATTTTAAGGGGGATGTACAAGCCATATTGGATCTAGTCTGGTGTAAAATAAGAAATACCAAGAATGCGCTTAATACTCCACTAAACTAGCCCAAAGTTACTCAAAGTGCTAATGCACTAATTACCTACTGTTAGAGACCAAAATTAGTAAATAATTAAGTTTAATGTGTTTTAATTAGGAGGAATTTAATCATGTTAGAACTGCGCAGCTACAGCATTCACGAGATGAAAAATGCATTGAAAATGGTGTTAGTTTGATTCATTGATAATATGGCTACAACCATTTGTTTCGCTTTTTTCTTGTCATTATCCATAATTCTTGAAAATTTGATTTTTCATATGGTAGTCTTCCTGAGGCCATGTGTTTATTTCGTCCGCCATTACTCTGTCATACAGAGTTCGAATAACATTGATTTTAGAATAAATGCGACCATAATAACATCAAGACAAGAAATTGCTAAGTAATAATCATTATGGTATATTATTTACTACTGTTATTTGTTGCATCGCATCGTCTGAATAATGAAAATACGCGATTTTAACCCCACTCCAGCAAATCGGGAAAAACTGTTCTGTTTACAGCTCGAATTTCCTTGTTAATATTATTCCACTGAGCACGTGCTTGGCATGTGCATATATCTGCAGTGGATAGAATGCGTTTATTACCATGATTATATTTAATTTTTCATGGAACAAGTCTTGATAATTTGTTGATTTCTTTAAAACTCAAGAAAAAAGATAAAAAATGTCCTAAACATATGTGTTTACGTCGGGTCTTTTTTCTGTGGCGATAGAAGTTATTTTCAAATGGGGTACTGCAAGGAGGATGCTTAGCATTTAATTTGAAAAAGTTAAACAATATGCAGTGCATGAAAAACAAATTGTAATTACATGTCTTACATTCGAAAAGTTGGTACATATGTCTATTTTGTTCAGCAGTTAGACAGAAAAATAGGCAGTTATAAGATTTCCTTCAGGCACCTCACATAAAGCTAGATTGTTTGCAATGACCCACACATTGTATGGAGTAATGTTTGGACATAAAAAAGCATCATGTCTCATTATGTTGACAACGTTGTAAGCTCTCGCCCATTGAACAGACGAAGCTGTTTCTTTGAAATTTAGAAGCAAGAACAATGCTTGCAAAGAAAGGTCCATTGCATATGCTATGTCTATCATCGCACAAAACAGTGAGAGGATATAGCCCCCCCCCCCCCCCCAAATGGCCCGACTCAATTTTTTTTTTACATCCCATTACACGATATTTTTTTTCTTCCATCAACAAATATGTTTAGATTTTAAGGAATTTTTTTCTCACCTATAAATATCGACCCAATAATTTTTCCCTGAGTTTGGAGGACCAGCAAACGTCATTTTAAAGATGGTATAAAATATTTAATTATGTTGATTTTTTTTCTTTACTCTGTAAAATTGTAATTTTGACAAAATGGGCAATTAGAAAAAAAAGTTTTTTTATTCATTAAATCTTCTAACCCACGCTGAATGATGGAGGTCTTTGATAGCATATTGCTTAATTAAAAACACATCCCTTTTCAAACTTGCTTTCACCGGGCAACATAACAAGTATTATATTAACCATCTGCCTTCCTTCACTAAAACGATCTATCCAACCATTGATTGAATTTATAGGAAGTCATTTGTCTTGATATATTGTGAACAAATTCTTATACGCTACTTCAAAGGCATTTTTAAGATATACCATAAATATTTTAGTCGTTTGTTGAACGAGTTCCACTGAGACAACCATTTTTCGTCACAAGTTCCTGTATAATGACGTCATTTTCACATTGTGAGCAAAACTTTATTCAGCATATGCTATTTAAAGAACTTGTGTTTGGTTGTGTGTGCACCAAATTTGTTTCTAATCTGAATTTTTTTTTATAGATACACATGTATCGAGATAGTTCGCGAACTTTTTGATCACCCCTCCTACTAGTAGGTACTAACACAAGGTCATTCATATCGATTTTATGTGTTTAATTTCTTTGTGATTCAATGGTGATAATTAAACTTTTGATAGATAATATAAGTTATCTGTGACTTACAAACTCTTTATTTTTAACTTTGATGGTGCTCATTTTTCCTTACCTGGAATCAAAGAGTTTAAGATTTTTTTTATATCAATACGTACACTATTTAACAACTGTACAATAATGATATTAAATAATAAATAACTTCAAGAAACACTATAACACATTTCCTCTTTTAAAAGTGTTCATATTATTTGAAATATTTTGCAACTGTAATTCTCTTCTACATTTTAAAGATTGTTATGTCCCTCCATATTAAGAAGAGGTCTGGAAAACAAAATTCTGTACTAAAAATAGACCACGTGCTGCTATCCATGAACTACTGTCATGAATCTTTACACTCTTTTTGAAGACAACGATACATTTTTTTTGAACTTGAAATTATCATTTAAAAGTGCAAAATTTAGACATTTTCTCAACAAATGGTTGTAGAGAGAACATTAATGCACAGTTTGCGTATTTTTTTGGATTTTTTTAGGCTTTGCTGAATTCTGTGGCTGCGCAGTTATAAGGAGCATATCAAAAGCATTTTTCTGCAAAAGTATAGATTATATATGCACAACATGCATTCAGTTATGTATTTTAGTCATTAGAAGAAATGTTTACATTTCGTTCTCACTACACTAAAGGTGGCCGTACATCCCCCTTAAGTTTTATTGCAAAAAAAATGTGACTTTATTTCGTTCGAAAATCCATGCGAGTTAAAAGTGCGTTAAGCTGTAGAATCAACGGCAATACCGTGCGCGACGTTGTTGTAGGCTAAACGGTGTCCGCTACAGTCTTGAGTAAAAACGAACATTGGGTTCGCGACATGTAAATAATACAACCAGAGCTGACTTCAGGCGAACGCAGTGACCCAGTGCGTACCCAAATTCTAAAATATCTGACTCTTAGCGAAAGCGAAGCAGACCCTAGTTTAGCACGTCTATGAAGTTGAGTCTGGTCAGTACTGTAGGAAACATGGAAAAAATTACCGTAGATTTCATCCGATTCCTCCGATTCATCTGATGATGTTGAGTCTGAAATTTGAAGATACATGTAACACGTAAATTATATGTTGTTTAAAGTCTCATTCGATAAAAGAGACATGCAATGTTTAAAGAAAATTTGAAATATTTTGGTCATATGGCTTGCATGTGACAGGAATGAAAACACTTACACACTCACAACATAGAGTTCTCTACATAAAATCATACAAAAAAAAACTTTATGCTTACAATTTCGGTTAGACAAACAGAAGATATGTAAATGTTTGCATGTATTTAAATAGGGTCGATGTAAAAAAAAATGTTCAAGGTTGATTGATTGATTGATTGTATACTGTTTAACGTCCCTCTCCAGAACATTTCACTGATATGGAGACGTCACCATTGCCGGTGAAGGGCTGCAAATTTAGGCCTATGCTCGGCACTCAGGGCCTTTGAGCAGGGAGGGATCTTTATCGTGCCACACCTGCTGTGACACGGGGCCTCGGTTTATACGGTCTCATCCGAAGGACCGCCCCATTTAGTCGCCTTTTATGACAAGCAAGGGGGTACTGAGGACCTATTCTAACCCGGGTCCCCACGGGGCTGTTCAAGGTTGAAGAGAAATAGAAAAAAACAAACAAAACACTAACTATTCCGTAATTCTAACGATATACTAACCAGTTGAGGGCTTTTTATCTCTTTTCATCTCTCTTATCTCTGACAAAATCTGAAAAAGAGGTGAAATTAAGTAAAGCCAATAAAGGCCGAGATTTTTAAACGCACCTTTTTTTCAGGTAAGGTAAGGGACGTGCATGATACCCAGAGACATTGGTGGTCGTTTAGATCGTGCGAAGCGCTTATCACTTCACACAAAACAACACAGGAGGTCCACGAGCATTATCTGTACAGCTTGTTTGGCCTATATTTCATCATGAAATTATTAGATCTCAACATTGAAAATAGAAAATATCAACAGTAATTAATGATGATTGTTAAATTGCATAATTTGAGCCTAATATCAAATAAGAAGAAATCTCACCGGCCAACTTTTGTAAAGAAGTCTACAGTAGGTACCTTACATAGTATGTCACAGTTGTAATGAGTTGAGTTCATTTAAAAAAATATTACGTACAGTACAATTGTAGTAGTGTAAGATACATGGTTAGTGGGTTAACCCTTAAACTCAATTGGTAGAGCACTGGACTGGAATGCCAGAGGTCCCGGGTTCAATCCTCAGCAGAGGCAATAAATTGTCTCCGTTACATTTCGCGCCAACGTTGGGACCCTGGTGTTCTCTGGCGGGTGAGAGTGATTTCCCCTAGAACTTCGCCCCACAAGTGTTGACACTCCAAAAGAGATGATATCTCATTATCTGGAGGGGGACAATGTAAATGTGTAAAATACATGACATCCTACTTGCTTGGGCTAGTGGGTTAATCCTTTAGCTCAATTTGTAAATCACTGGATTGGAAAGCTAGAGGTTCCAGTTTCAATCCCAGGAAGAGGCAATAAACTGTCTGTGTTACACAATTTCAAAGGTAATATATTAATCCTTGCATGTCTCTTAAATCTTTAACAACTTTTTTATAATTATCGGAAATATAGGGGCAATTAGAGCTTCGATCACGACCAATAGTAACAGTTACTTCCAGTCTGTATAAAAAGTCTTATAGTCCTATTTCAGAAAAAAATGTGTTCTGTTGTGAAAATTTGCGAACGCAATGGTATCGTAAAGTTCTGCATTTTGAGTACATTATATTATGATAAACCAACTTAAAACGAAACATAAATGTATTGCTTTTGCTCTAATCTTTACTATCCATTACATGCAAAAAATGTTACAAGCTTATTTTTCTTCTCTTTTTTATCGTAAAATTTTCGCCGCCCCTCTTCATGAAAAGGAATAATATACACAAGCTTTATTTATTTAACTGAGTCATTATGAGACGAACTTGATTTTTTAATGACATATTTGTAATACAGACAATTATAATAGATTATAGTCAAGCTGAAATGGTTGGCATTGAAATTGCGTCCTTATTGCGCTGGTACATTTAATATATGCGGTTTACATCAGAAGACTGAGAGTTAATTTTATGTTGGCTTCGAGTTTCAAACAGGGTGAAAGAGTTATACACAGGGACAGGTAGCTAAATGTCAATCAATTTCAAATACCCAGTGATGGACCTTAATTTACTTGACTGACAAGAGAATACAGACCAGATAAGTCTGAGGGCGGGCTAGGGGTTCTGATGCTAGGACAGGGCTCTATTGTTTTTATAGTGTAAATGCATTAATATTTTGAAAATCTTCACCTCTGCTACTAGCTGGGTATTAAGAAGATGAACTACCTACATGGCTATGAAAAACAAGGGTCCTTCTCCATGTTTTGTGGATTTCAAAGTCCCTGGGTCAGCAGTACCAAAAAGAGGGGCTGTGAGGATTTATGAATTGAAAATGAATAAATGCTTTGAAATCTGATTATACATGATAAGCAAGGGTGCCTTTCCAAAAACTATGAAATTTGTTGTCCAATTGTCAGGAGGTCCTGAGGAGGGGTATTATTGATTTTCCTGATTATAACTACTTGTTTGTTCCCTACTCTGCAAATGGGTATAAAGGAACCTAACTAAGCATACTAAGTATAATAATATGATGAGTAATGATGCCTTCTAAGAAATGAGAATATCATTGCCTTTTGGTTTAAACCTCTAACCAAATTTAATTGTAGGAAAGTTGTCACATAATGTTTTGGATGATCTTAAAGGCCAGTGGGCCTCTTGTTCAGCTCTACTTGTCAACGACCAAAGGGTTCTCAAATTATAAACCGGGCAAAATATTGATGAAAAGAAAGAATAAGAAAATCGATAAAAACAAAAGGATTTTCATCGTAATTTGAACCACTGACACAGGGTAATACATGTAAAAAGAAATACCTTTGAGGTATGGTCATGGATTTCTTTAATGGTCTGTTTTTGCCGTTTTATCTTCCTCTGGAGCAACTGACAAAATAATTTTTTAATGCAGTAATATACCTTTTGATTTCTTTATCTATTTGAATATGAGTACATTATATATACATTAAATATGAGCATACTGCATAATTTGGTGAAAACATGTACAGTACTTGTAAGTACATTCAAAACGTTATAATACAAAAATATATTTATAGGAACCTACCGTAAACTTGTCTTCATCTGTCACTTCGAGTTTTCTTCATAATATACAAATAAGAGAAATTCTATGTTACTTTATGCGATCTGTTTATAAAAATAATTTACCAAATGGAAGTATAGAGACACTATCGTAATTTACAATTTGTTTTTAATTTGATCATCATAAAAAAAAATAAGTTTAAAAAAGTACCCCGATGCTCTTATAGCAGCTTGGCCTTCTGCATCACGTGTTTTCTTTAATTGTAAATCGAAGTTTGTGTCATATAGGAAAACTGAAAAGAAACAGAAGTTTGATTACCTGTACTTCAAAATAACAATAATGTAGAATTACTATAGATATAATCGGCAGAAAAATGTCCTGAAACAAAGATATATCTTTCAAGGTACCTATTTTCACAAAAGAAATTATTTTTTAATAAATCGATATTATTTTATATATGTGAAAACTCTTTGTCAGAGTAGAACATTAGCCAAGAACACATCGCATCTTTAGCAAATTCAGTCCACGTTTTGATCAAATCAGACTCACATTTTTTTTTTACCAAGAAAGAGCATCTTTTGGCTCTAAAGCTTATCGTGCAATTCTATTATTTTTTAAAAATTTAAACTAACCCCTCACAAACATGGGACTTTGGTCAAGTTCATCATCGTCATCATCGTCATAAAAATAATCATCATAATCTGAATCGGTATCGGAAACGTCATCTCTACAATCTTTACAGACTGACCATAAGAAATGAAAAGGGCACCAAAAAATGAAATGGACCAAACAAACGGATAAAGCTACAAGTTGGAAGTGAACTGGGAAAATGCTCTTCACACTGTATTCTTCCAGAAAATCTGTTTGCAGTTGCGACCAATAAAACTTGCTTTTTTCATGAACCTTCTCAAATGTGTGGCTAAAATGAAAAAAAGTGATATTGTTAAGGTCATCGAATGTTCATCTGCTGTGATGTAAAGCATCAGTAAATGTAGGAGACTCTTAAATGTGAAATACTTCATGCCTGTCTAACAAAAATATAAGGTTTATTTACATGATTATTAGAAAATCAGGAATTTTGATGATTTCTGAATGGTCTAGACGGTCTTTCCTGAGATGTACCTTAGAGTGAGTTCACCTCAAAGAAAGAATCGGGAGGTTTATTCGGGTTTTCCTTCTTGACCAGTCATAGATTTCTGTATAGTATTTTCAACTCATCAAATTGTCTGTTCTAAAACATGTGTCGTTGTGAATATAAAGACAGCAGACGCCAATATGAGGATATTTAAATACTTATTAGTAAATGGTTGAGTATTGTTTAATAATATTATTTTTTTTTCTTTTTCAAGTACTTGTTAACCTGTTTAAATATAAATTTAACGTGTTGTTACACTATGCATTACTGTATATAATGAGTGTTTATGTTTGATGTAGACAGTAACTAAAGTTTCTCAAGTGTTTTAAAATTCCTGATCATTTAATAAAAGGGCTATTGACTTTTGAATTCGGACTACTCGTGACTATACGGACTTGGTCAGTTATTGGTTAACCTCGGCCTTCGGCCTCGGTCTACCAATTCCTGACCATGGCCAGGTCCGTTTGGTTACGGGTTGACATCATCAATTGTCAATAATTGTATGTTTGTTTTTAATAATGTATGCAGTGTTTTTGAGAAGGATTTTCATGATAATATGAATTTACCCCGGATACGCTAGAGTAAGATTTCTCCGGGAAAGAGGAATGGGTGTGATTCTGCACTTGAGCAGAGCAGACTTTCCACTGGAATTTATATCCTACTCTAGAGTCAACCCCCTATATCAAATATGTTTTATTGCAGTGTATAAAATAAATCTTTTTTTCATGGCATTATTAGGTCTTGCGGTTATTACAGTATACATAAAGTTTTTTTTCTTTCAGAACATTAGGTCAGACTATGAATTAGCATTATTGTATTTGTTACAGATTTTTCTTTTTTTAGAATTGATATGCATTTTAGAATCTTTAATTAGTAACACAAGTCTATCTTATATCCTTGATCGTGAGATCAAGTAAGAGACAAGAAGAGATCATGGAATAAATGAGAAAAAATACTGAATAATAGATAGATAGATATTACATGTATATGTGCATTGCAGATTGTGGAATTTACAAAATACAACAAAAACATTTATTCTCAAATTATTATTCTTATCGTTGCGTCACTATCCCTCATGTTGGTCACAGAACCAATTTTTTACAAAGGTTTAAATAATTTATTTAGCGTTAATTAAATTATTTCAATTGTTATTAGCAATGTGAAAGATAAATAATCGAACACTATAAACAATAAACAGAAGTAAAAAGAAAAGCATTCTTTTATAACTGTAGAAAAATATTGGTGTTTTAATGCGAGATCACGCAGTTATGTTTACACATTACGTAAAGTACGGAGAATGAGGGGGAGGGGGGGGGTAGACTGACCGCTCCATATGTTTTTAGCATTTGGCTGTCATTTAGATATGGATCTTTTTATATAAAGATCGTTTGCCCCCACCCCCTTCTTCATCCCACTATTTTTCGTTGTAGCATGGTCAAACTCTTGCGCATAAGAATATACTAAAAAATAAGAGGAAGATTCATGCATACAATTTGTTTATAATACTATATACAATAATAAAAGTCTTACATCTATCATATTCAAGGGACAACTCCCCAAATAAAATCCAAAACCCATTCCGGATAATTCTTTCAACTTCGGTAAAGTTCAAATCAGAGTTGTCCGTAAAAAGAATGGCGTAGTAAGACACGCTGTAGCAACCACTTACCACCGTCATAATTGTCAAGAAAGCAAATGTGTCCATGAACTGAAGAAAAAAAACACGGTACAGATTAAATACTATAACGAAAACAAGAGGCCCAAGGGCCTTATAGGTCACCTGAGCATTATGCAACAACTTTCCAGTGATTGAACTTGATACACGTTTTAAGCCAGATGCCATGGCATTCACAATTTTGAAAGAGGCACCATTGATCATCATAACTATACACTTAGCAGTTGCTTAGTTTGGTTACTTAATACCCATAGGCAGGGTAGAGGAACAAAAAATGCATTTCAACACATGAACCCTGACCCTTAGGCCTAGATCCACACATTGCACAATTCTTGAAAAGGCATCCCTGCTTTTCAAAAATATTTGATTAATACCAAGGAACAGATTCCAAACAATTCATTCATTTTCAGTATATAAGTACAGCCCCCCTCCCTCTATGGTACCCCTGACCCTGGGGCCTTGAAATTCACAATTACGGAAGATTAGGAACCTTGCTCATCATAACTATATAGGCAGTTCATCTGCTTAATACCCAGGAGCAGGGAAGAAAATTTTCAAAGATTTAATGTATTTTCACTATACAATCAATAGAGCCCCGCCCTAACACCAGAAAACCTGACCCTGGGGCCATACACAATTTTGGAAGAGGCACTCTTGCTCATCATAACTATGTACTTAGTTTATTTAATACGTAGGAGCAGAGAAAAAAAATTTCAAAGAATTCATGTTTTTTCACTAGAAAATAATCAACAGAGCCCCGCCCTAACACCAGAACCCCTGACCCTGGGGCCATAAAATTCACAATTTTAGTAGAGGCTCTCTTGCTCATCATCACTATGCACCTAGTTAGTTTATTTAAAACCTAGGAGCAGAGAAAAAGATTTTCAAAGAATTCATGTATTTTCACTATATATTCAAAATAGAGCCCCGCCCTAACACCATAACCCCTGACCCTGGGGCCATAAAATTCACAATTTTAGTAGAGGCACCCTTGCTTATCATAACTATGCACTTAGTTTATTTAATACCTAGGAGCAGAGAAGAAGATCTTCAAAGAATTCATGCATTTTCACTATATAATCAATAAAGCCCCGCCCTAACATCAGAACCCCTGACCCTGGGGCCATAAAATTCACAATTTTGGTAGAGGTACTCTTGCTCATCATAACTATGTACTTAGTTGGTTTATTTCATACCCAGGAGCAGAGAAAAAGATTTTCAAAGAAATAATGCATTTTCACTATATACTTATTTAGCCCCGCCCTAACACCAGAACCCCTAACCCCAGGGCCATAAATTTCAAAATTTTGGTAGAGGCACCCTTGCTGATTACAATCATTCCAACAGTTTGCCTGCTTGATGTCCAGGAGTAAAGAAGAAGATTTTTTAAGATTGCATTAATTTTTTATTGGTTTTGGCCCCACCCCTCAGGCCCCAGGGGGGCAGGGATCACGAAATTCACAATTTTTTGTTCCCCTTCACCCATAGATGCTTTATGCCAAATTTGGTTGAAATTGGTGCAGCGGTTTCAGAGAAGAAGCTGAAAATGTTCAAATGTTAACACACGACGCACGACACACAATACCTAGGAGCAGACAAATTTTTTTCACTACCAGTCCCTTTCAATATCCATTTTTTAAGCTTACAATACTACATTTCCTTCCCATTACTTTACTTTAGTATAAAGTGGGGGGGCCAACCTGCCTTTCAATGTACATTTTCAATAGTAAAAGTATCGTTGGCAAAAAAAGTGGGGGGGGGGGGGGGCCGCCCCCCCCCCCTGGCCCCCCCTGTTGCTACGTCCCTGGTCAAGTACTACTTTTTGAAATGAACTTTCGTAACACCCCTTATTTAAAATGTAACAATAAATATACCTTGACGATATATATTTAAACTAATGAGAATGAGAAAAAAAAACCCACATACAAGACGATACAAACTTGACTTTACTTATCTCTTTGATGGTGATGTATATAACTTTAGTTGCTTTTAGTTACTTAAGTTTGGACATGTTAATTTATTGTGCTTTTGATTCACTGTCATTTTTTGCACTTTACATAAATGACCATTTTTATTCTTTTAAGAAGAGTTCTTATTTGATTATGGTTGGAAAGGTATAAAAAAGAAAATAATCCGCAAAGTTGATTTCTCTTGATATTCTTAGACTCTACTTCGCTGTATTTTGTTTTGTTAATAACCAACTGCAAAGTTACAAGATAGAAAGTCAGTGTAATTAATTGTGTATTTGTCAGAGCAATAAATTGTGGATCTGTCAGTGTAATTAATTGTGTATTTGTTAGTAAAAATAATTGTGTATTTGTCAGTGTTATTAATTGTGTATCTGTCAGTGTAATTAACTGTGTACGAGGGGTGATCAAAAAGTTCGCGAACTAAATGAATAACTTCCATAAAAGAAACAATATTTGGTTTCAATGTTGATTATATTTTAAATTAATCCTCTCCGATTTTAATGCACCTCAACCACCGTTCTGCGCATGCGCGAATCACGTGATAGTTGCGGTCACGTGACCCCCTCTGTAGCGTTCTGTCACAAAAGTTGAAAGATTTTTCTGAGTTTTATATTTCTTTCTATGTGAGTTAATTTTTATAACAAGAACAGTTCGTTTGTCAGAAATGGTCAAATCTCGGCAAGAGAATGGATGGATAAGAATATCCTTTCCAAAAATAAGCATGCCGACCATTAAAACACAAATCTTCTGTCTCGGGAGAGACCTTTATTCAAGGATGATAGAGAATGGGTGCCTCCTTTTTATCATATCTAATATGTTTAAAATCTATAGTAAACGATATCTTAGGTATTTAATAATTATATTATTGTTCAAATATTCAACTATTTTTCAAATTGTAAATTGGAGGTCTTTGATTGCAAATTAATAAATTAATTAATAACACATATCTTTTCAAAGTTGCTTTCACTGGGCAAGATGACAAGTATCATTTTTAACCATCTGTCTTCCTTCACTAAAACGATTAATCCAATCATTAATTGAATTTATAGGAACTCGTTTATCTTAATAAACTATGTACAAATTATTATGTGATACTGCAGAGGGATTTCTAAGATATACAATAAATTGTACAGTGATTTGTTGAACGAGTTCGACTGAGACAACCATTTTTCGTTACAAGTGACCTACATAGTGACGTCATATTCACATTATGACGTCACAAACAAGGAGAAAAACTTTATTCAGTATATGCTATTTATAGACCTTGTGTTTGGCTACGTGTGTACCGAATTTCATTCTAATCTGAATTGTGGTTTTGTAGATATAGAGATAGTTCGCGAACTTTTGATCACCCCTCGTATTTGTGGTATACCATTTTCTTAATCATCACAAGCTTGGCTCCAATTATTTCCGATATCATCAGCATGTTAAGAGATCTGATACACATCAGGATAAATGTCAAAACAAAAAATGTCTTTGATGCGGTACGAAATACTTCCCCTTCGCCAAGTTTAAGCAGCATTCCGCCAAGATATGCTCCCATTGACATCCAGTCCAATCGATTCCACCAGTCATTCACATATTCCTTAAATCTTTTTCGTCGTAATGAGATAGCAATCTGCAAAATATATACTTACATGTTTGTCTCTATTGCTGTTTAAGATTTATCTGATAAATTGCTATGGACAGTTAACAGATGTATTTGCTAAATGTATGTGAAGGTAAAAAGCATACATTGATTAATTGATTATATACTGCTTAACCTCCCTCTCGAGAAATTTTAAATCATATGCACTCCTACTAATGTGTTCGGAACCTTTAATTTTTCTGTGTTCTGCAAATTATAAAACCCGATGAATTCAGAGTAGCTCTGACAGTGGCTCTGGCGAGAGTTAGCCAGACTTCAACGAGATAGGGTAAATCATTCACGGAAATGTGGCCAGGAAATGACTAGCACTTGGAGACACGGTAAACAGAAAAGCTATTATGTTGCGATATAGTTCTCACAACCCTATAATATCATTCTGTAGATATGTACTTAATCGATCTCTCTTGAATTCAATCAAGTTTAAATTATAAGAATTCTCTATGATACAATTTTCTGCTGTCCAGAATTAAATTTTCTTTTTTGACAAATATTACATGGGAACCGGGACTATATTTTTTGGGCGTCAGATTAACTTTAACTGACAAATCAGATGAATGAGAATTGCATTATGGGTTACTATACGTATACTACAGGAATTTTACGCTTGATAAATTTTTTTTTTGTACTATCGGTGAATACAATTGTCAGGTGGATTCCCTGGCCAACACACTTGATCGCTAGTATAGTTATGTATTCACCAATAGAAAATTTGATTTAACAATGAAATGGAAACATAAAGAATCACTGTATAGTTAGTACAGTATGCCAGGGACATCAACGATAGTGGAAGACATTAAATAATTTATGCAAATTATTTCATGTTTCCCCCTATCGTTGATGCCTTGGCATACTATATTAACTAGACAGTGATTCTTTAAAAAAAAAATCCAAAAAGCATGTAAAAAAGATAAATAATGTGCAGTTTATATTTAAACAAATTAATATTTAGTTTACGGGAAATTGAAAAAGTTTGTGAAACCAATTCCATTTTTAAAAACAATCCGCTCATTAGGTGGAGACGGAAATTCCATCATGTTTGAAAAGACAGAAAGGAAGATGGACAGTAATTGAAATCAATAAATTTAATTTTTGGTCTTTTTTCAATGAAATTGATCGCGAATGTGAAATGTTATAGATGTTTATCTACAAATGCCAACAAAATTTTGTGGTCATTATTTGTTTGAGGTTCATCATGTTCATATTAGAGAGTACTTAAAATTATTTTACCTGTTTTGATTCGTCAAGGAAAAAACTTGCCATCCATCCAATCAAAAACCAATCACATGTTGTGATTCCGTCGGTAAAACCAAATAGTAACATGTAGGTAAATGCTGTTAAAACAGTCAACCAGCCAAACTGTTATGGAAGATATTATACAGACAAATTAACATTTGCTGCTAAAAATATTTACAAATGATTGTGTAATTGTAAGTCAACTGTAATCATATCCAAGAAAATTGCACATGGTTTAGATTAAAAAATAAATCAAAAGGGGGAAAATAGCGAATACTGATACTTCTCGTGTATCATTTTACAGTCTAACTAAAAGAAACTTACGTGCAATTGTGTATTATTCATATGCACATTTTGAATATTCATATTAATGTCTTAAGTCATTTAGGCAAATTAAAGCTAAAATTTTCAATTGTATTTCAACGATGATAAAATTCAGTTTCTTTGACAATCATTAGAAATGATTTCTTTTTTTTTTATTTTTTTTTTGCTTACGCTTTTAAAATGGTTTTTAGCAACATTCATACTTTCAAAATGGAAGTTCAATTAATTTAGACAACCATATTGGAGTATTTAAGTTGTTTAAGCTGTACAGATTATGAACAGTGGGGCCCTGGAAACAGATCTAGAATAGTTGGAAAAGGTGCATGAGCCCTGTATTAAATCAGGTAAACATAGCAATCCGATGTCAAAATGATTAATGTACATGAGGTGGAGGACCACATTATTCTGAAACCGAAAGGGGGTGCAAGCAAACACTGTTTTCCGAGTAAGATAAGGAGATTACTCTTTGTAAAATATTTTAAAAGCAATTTTACATTATTTAATACATTGAAAATTAAACTATTTAAAAATACATACAGCATTAAGTAGAACCTTCATAGCAGGGATTTTGTATTGTCTGTATAACCTGGAAATTAAAAGTCGTAATTAAATTTAATATTTCCATAATTTCTGATTATTATAATTAAGACCTTGAAATTTTAAAGCTGGAAAGCTGTACCAGATAGTAATCATGACAAAAGGCAAAAATCATTTTTAAAAAATGACATATAGTATGCTTTGTAAACGGAGAACGCAATCATAGGATAAAAAAAATTAAAGCGCTGATAATGTGCATTTGGCAGGAATATGGGCGTAATTGAAAATTAAAAAAAATTTCGACATGTCACATGAAATTTTAACATTCTTTTTTTATTAATCAAGTTCATGTACAATAAGAAAGGAAAATATTTTCCCGAAAGTGAATTTTGATTTGCTAAAAAACCAGAAGTCTCTGTCGAGACTGTAGCTCTACTGGTTTATACTTAAAACAAAGGAAGAGAAAAGTAGCAGTTGGGACTTGAGACTTTAAAATAGCAATAAATAAAAAAATGATCCTTGCCGCTCATCAAAATAAAAACCGATGCACAGAATTTTGTGTCTTATTATAGTCTACTGTGTGCCAAGTTATATTGAAATCAGACCAAAACTGTAGGAGACGTAGCATTTTGAAAGAATTTCACAGAAATTTATATTTTTAGTAACCATGTCAACACCGTTCATCGAAAGCAAAAAACGATGCACAGAATTATGTATCTTAGTGTAGTCGACTTGTGTGCCAAGTTATATTGAAATCGGACCAAATCTGTAGGAGGAGTAGCATTTTGAAACAATTTCACAGAAATTTCTATTTTTAGTTACCACGGCAACACTGTTTATAGAAATCAAAAACAGATGCAAAGAATTATGAATCTTAATTTAGTCTACTTGTGTGCCAAGTTTTATTGAAATCAGATCAAAACTGTAGGAGGAGTAGCATTTTGAATGTTTTTCAAAGAAATTTCTAATTTTAGTTACCATGGCAACAATCGTTCATCGAAATCAAATACCGATGCACAGAATTATGTATCTTAGTGTAGTCTACTTGTGTGCTAAGTTATATTGAAATCGGACCAAAACTGCAGAAGGAGTAGCATTTTGAAAAATTGTTTACAGACAGACAGACGGACGGACGCCGGACGCATTACTATCGCATAAGCTCTTCTGGTCTCTGACCAGTAGAGCTAATAACTTGAAAATTGGCTAGATCAGACATTTCATACAAAATGGTACGTTTTTAAACACGTTTTTCTAATTTCCTAGGTTTTCTCTCCATGAATTTGAAATGTTATATGTGTAAAGGATATGGAGATAACGAACAGTAATCAATATCAAAGTCCATAAAACAATTCAAAATAGGAGTAGAGCAAACACGGACCTCCAAAACATCAGAGGTGGAATCAAGTGCCATGGAGGAGTGAGCATCCCCTGCCGACCGGTCACACCCGCCGTATACTCCTTGTGATGATCGGGAAAAAACAGAAAAATCCGTCGTCAATTCAGTGTATATATAATGGACTAACAATTAGTATGAAAAATGTCAGCCAGCATTTGACTCAATGATAAATTGTATTTGCTGACAAGGTCATGGTATCGACCACTGAACTTACGAAATGACGACTTTAAACAAAACTGCTGATAGTCTTGTTTCATCAACTTGTTTGTCAATAATTTACCTCGTTTTTAGAAATTGTTCATACGTAGAGCATGCTCTAGCGTATCGAATCAAATGAGATATGTAAACCCCGTATGCAGATGATGAAGGTATATTGTTGCATAGGTAAGAGAAGTTGACGATAGAAAGTTAAAGTTATAACCTTTATCAAAGAGCTTGGTTGTTAGATTAGAATTATTGTCTTCTTTAAAGTAAAATATCCAAGTATGAAACAGATGTGTCAGACTCGATGGTATCTTTTATCTCAAGCTCGCCAGGATATATCGTATCGATATAGGAATGGAAATTTCCATTGTTAATTGACAATACGTCGTCGATAAATTTAAATGTCAAGTTGAAGGCCAAAACAACTGTTTTCTTCTTTTCACGCATAAGATTTTGCATAAATTCTGCTCCATATGAATACAAAAATAAGTCTGCTTATAACGGAGCGCAATTGGTACCCATTGGAATTCCAATAGACTGTTGGGAGAGCTGGTCTCCAAAAACCACATAGATACTGTCAATCAGAAAGTCAAGCATCTTTTTGAAGTAAACTTCAGAGTACATGTGTGTGCAATCAGAATGTGTTTTATTAAAATAATTTTGCGAATGACCAATGACGAGGTAAGTGAATTTACGAGCTCATTTTTTTAATGAAAAAGCAGCTGTAAATGATATCAAAAAACCTGGACTTTAATTTATCGTGAGGAATGGTTGCATTTTAATTCAAAGAAATGAATATACATTTGTAAAAAATGGAGAGAAGACCAAGAGACCATAAAAAAATGAACTTTTTTCAAAAAAATCCAACTGTGTATATGTGATGCTTCTTTGTCCTGTTAAAAACGTACTGTTTGTGTAGCGTTGATAGCTCAGTAATATGGGCTACCTTCCAGTGCACTAGACGTGAAAAGTTTTGGTTTGAGCCTCGCATGGGGCGTTAATTTTTTTCCATTTAAAATGCAAACAATCAATTATTTTATCGGTTTCATTTTATGTACTTATGTATTAAAATTTTGAATTTTTGAATTAAGATACATATATTCTCGTTTAGTTTGGTTCTAGAGCGAAATCAATTCCAATCTTCTATATATTCTATGATGTACAGGTACACTTATCATCTATGCCTTTAATTTTATATGTTTTTTTTTTTTTTGTTTTGAATCATTACTTTGTTATTGTAACTCTTAGGAAAAATTGATAATAAACGTTACAATCTGACAAGGTATTTCAAAATAATAGATAGAAAAATCCTATGGCTGTGTTTGTAAACTATGACCAACTTTGTTCACCCAACCAAATCTTGGACATTTAAACCATTAATGATTCGTACAAACGATTCCTGCTGATTAATAGCCAAATACACCCATCTTCTTTCAAAATAAAAATATTTGCTAATTTAAACTTTTATACTCAAAACTAAATATTTACTACTTGCAGTTTTCTCGTTAGTTGAAGTTCACACAGCAAGATATAAACGATTCACTGATGGCATTGTCAACGTGACGTCATTAGACGTATCGTTAAAGTTGACGCAGTTTGTACGCAGTTAGATGCTGATCAAGTTACATTTTGTACAATTTAGGAATTCATTTTTGAAGATTCATGATGACATGAAACTATGACGCTTTAGGTCGGCATATTTCATGAAGCGCCTTAGTGTTTCATGATAAATATGCCGGCGTGAAGGTCTGTGTTAGAAAAAGAGAGAAAATGTCGCAAAAAATAATTTTGCGACTGGTTCTGATCATAATTTAGATTTTTCTCAATGAAAGAACATGAAAATAGTTACTTGTTAAAAGCATGTTTTTCCTGAAATAAAAACAGAAAAGAAGCAAAGAACACAAAACGCTAATTGAAGCGACCAGGCTGATGATGAATTGGAGCTTTTGTCACAGACTAAGTTAAGGTGCATTCTACATAAAAACTTTAAATTTCGATTGATTCGTTGTTACTCCTAAGCTGGGTTAGTAATTTTTTTGTTTTAGGTACCAGATTTTGTTCTCACTCTTAACCTATGAGCTTGTACTCAAAAAGATAAGCTCGGAAACAGCTAAAGTGCAATTATAGCAATAAAAAATTAAAATATATAAAGGTTCACAGCACTTTTCACAAAGTTCATGTATATGTACAGTGTAGTGTTGAAAAGAAATATACTGAGTATAATCTTAACTGATCAAAGTAAATTAATTCAGACGGGTTGGATCCAAAAGCTCCAAGTTGACGTCTCAAAACAAATGGCATGACCATAATAACAAATTGAATAGAAAATAAAATTAAAGCAATTTTATGCAATTGTACCACTGCAAAGGCCTGTTTTCCATCGTGATCATCAACACTGGCAACAACACAAAATGAAACAGGGTGAGGAACAGAAAAAGTAAACCCTGGAAGCAAAACAAAAATCATTACTTTATGTATTTCTTTTTTCAGTAACATTATTTATATATATATGTGACCTATCAATTCGTTTTTAAACAGCTTTATAATAGAAAATATAGACATTATTAACCCAAGGTCTTTTCGGAAAGGATACTTGAAGAAAAATATCATAATTTGTGCCTGGTTTTTATCTTTCTTAAGGATAAACATGGTGAGTTCCCATTTTGACTGAGAATGTGTCATGACTTTGACTAAAGGTCATTTGTGCAAGTTCAAGGAAACTGACAGAAAAAAAAATCATAATTCATGTCTTTCAACCAAGGTTATAAATGCAAGTTCGAGGTCACTGACAGAAAAAGTTCATAGATTTTGTCTGTTGTTTATCTCTTGTATTCAATTTTTTTATTAGGCTGCACCTTCATTTCAATCACAAAGAATATAATGAGAATTATATCTGCACCGAAAATGTTTTATCATTTTTCTCTTCTCTTAGATCCATAAAATATTCCATAAAATATTCTTGATTTGGCACCTGAAAAACCCAGCGTGGGGTATTTCGACCCTTTTGGACGGTTCTAGTTTTGGAGTTCATATTGTCTTTTAAAAAACTCAAAGAACATACTTTAAGGATCTTTGTAAAATGTACATTTCCTTTAATTTTAAACACGTCACATGTCAAAAAGCTGATGCACGTGAAGTTACTTTGGCCGACCTCGGGAAGGATCCTACATGTATATATAATATGCAAATAGTATAGTATAAATATAATTATTCCTATTTATCAACTCATGCTGATAAAAATATTTACTTTGTCAGAATAATATGAGGCGCATTTCTATGGGCGGCCTTTATTAACCTAGCTGCGAACATACATTCTTCCATATAGAGCAATAAAGCTTGGTGAAAATTACTTACTCTTCGAAAAGAGATACTTTCGCTATTGTACCACATCTTGTTAATGACATTCTTGACTATCTCATCATTTAAGTACACGCTATTTTGTGTCTTTATTGCATCTGACAAGTATCCATGATTTAGTAAAAGTCTTCCAGCGTGGTTAATTTGATGTCCAGGCACTTCTGCATCCCTCTCATCATTTCTAGCCTTTTTCTTGTCATGTTTGGTATCCGCCTCATGAATACAACTTGTAATTCGCAAGGCCTGCTGGGTGCACAAACTATTCAAAACAATAACATTGAGCAAATCGTGATTTTAAATTCCCTTTTAAAGACAGAAAAATATTAAAGAAGTTAAAAAGCCTTAGAAAATGGAGAAAGAAATTATTATTACTTTTTTTATCTATAATGTTTTTACATGAAAATTCCTTATACAGGTAACTCTTGATGGCTCGAACTTCGATCTCTCGAAGTTCTTGATCGCTCGAAGTGAGTCTTCGGTCCCGAATTTTTTCCCTATATAACTAAGCAAATTTACTCTTGATTTCTCGAACTCTTGATCTCTCGAAACCCTTGATCTCTCGAAGTAAAATTGCAGTCCCGCTGTTCATATTCTATTGAAATTCACCCTTGATACCTCGAAGTGGCTATGTGTATACAAAGTTACATAATTAGCAACTTTACCTGGACATTTAATGACCCCAGGCAGAAGACGCGGGTCTCCTGAAACGGGATGTTTATTCAGGTGACACTTATTCTGCAAGGTTATAATTGATTTATAACTAATCTTATGGTGCCTATATGCTATCAAAATAATTATCATCGTTTTTTTTACGATAATTCAGAAACGTAGTGTCGCTGAGAAATTGTATGCAGATTATGAGACGAAAGAATTGATGAATTAAATTTTTATTTCGATTCAGTTTCAAAGTTTAACGAAATATGAAAATTCAGAAACAGTCTTGCTGTCAATATGACGACTTTTTTTGGACAAATACATACAGAATTTCGTTCAATGCACATGTTTGGAAAAGTCACAATGCTATGTACCACGCGACACTGGTCTATGCCTTTTTCATATAACGAATGAGTAGAATGATATCCGTTTGATAAAAAAAAATTCAGGAATACGAACTGACGATGTCCATTTTTTCGTTTACTCAGTTAAATAAATATTCACTTAAAATACGAAAACATATCGTTGTTTTGTAAAGACTACGTGCAAAAGGTAAGAACTGCATGAAAATCAACACATCCGATATGACTAATTTTAAAACCTGTCAAACAAACTCGGAAAAATCCGGACTCTTGAAAACTCGAACTCTTGATCTCTCGAAGTTTTTCCTCGGTCCCGCGGACTTCGAGGTTTCGAGAGTTACCTGTATTTAAAAGTTGTATTTTTGTAGTTTCCGTTATAATTTTTAAGTTTCCATTTCAGGCTATTATGATCAGGGTGTTGTAAGAGTCAACAAAGTTTCATACTAAATCAACGAAAAAAATGTAAATGTATATACTACATTCGACTATCATAACCATAGGTTAACATATCACGACTTATATTCACGCATATGATGAAAAATTTGTCAATAAATCAGCTAAATTATTAAGACAATCGAAAGAAGGATAAGTGGGAAATTCGATTTTACTTACGTTTTCATTCTTAACAGTTTGTCCTTTTCAAGTTGACTGGTTTGCCAATTATCTGCTGTGTCTTGAAGAATTACACACCCAACCAAAAGATGGGGAATACGAACCTATTTGATCAACTAGTATTTGTTTTACTCTACCCTTCCACTCCATGTTAGAAGTGTTTGTTAATAATGACACTTTTCAAAATAATGACAAATAGAAACAGAAAAGTTTTAAAACAGTTGAAGATAAAATTTTAATTTCTATCAATAGTTGTATGACAACTTGGGTACTTAATTATAGTATCAATGGAAGTCACTGACGAGACTTTAGCTCTACTGGCTTGAACTCATAGTAATGGAAGAGAATAGTTGCACGCAGGCTTAATACTTTGCAACAGCAACAACAAAACTTTTTATCCTTTTTTCTAAAGTTGCAAAATTTATTGCAAAAGACGTCTACATATGAGTGAGAAATTATTGAGAGGGATGTTAAACATCATACAATCAATCAATGTATTGCAAAAAAAATGTAGGCAAAGAAGCTTTTAAAGGTGAGATATCCCTCTGCTCCTAATTATACCATTTTAAAAAAATCTAAACATTGATTTTCATCAATAACAATGAAATTAGATTCAAATGGAGTTTAAAGTATTAAACGTTGCTTTCTATTTCAGAAACTGATATTATGTCTAACCATGGTGTGGGACAAAATGACGTAGTAATTAGGAGGATCAGAATAAAATTTAAAATATGAGGTGTATATATAAATAATATTTACTATCATACTTATCTAATACTCGTTAGAAAATATAATGAAGTGTTGCTTTTTAAATCAGAATATTAAACTGTTTTATGTGCTTGTTTATTAATATGTATCCATCAACAAGAATTTCCATTATCACCCTTGAAAATATTTGAGTGTAACAAAATATTAATCAAATGATTGTAAACAATTCTGCATCTAAAATTTCTGGAACAATTAAAAGATTTATACGTTAAGAAATATCTAAATTTACACAGTTTAAAGGAACTGAGTTTTAATGTTTAAGGTAAACTATTATAAATAAAAATGAAAATATTGGCAATAGAAACTATCTATCAACATCTGTACCATAAATATAACTTCATTGAATCGGGTATAAAATGGTCCTCGTCAAAAAAGGCTGTATAATTTTACCAGACAATTCATTATATTACATAGGAAAAGAAGTCTTCAGAAAGTTTTCTCTCCTGTCAGAGGGATATAACACCTTAAAGAATTAGACAACATTTTTAATTGTAGTAACCATGGCTACATCATTGATGAAAATATCCAAGAATCCGAAGGACCATATTGCTGACCTATTGACGTAGAAAATTACATGTATTACTTAAATATTTATAAATAAATATAACCAAACACAGCTTTTCTGTTCTCAAGAATATATATATATATATATATATTTTTTAGATATTTCTATGTGCATGTTAAATTTCGATCGCCCATTGCACCAACCTACCTCTGGGTCATGATTTGAACAATGGTTTTCCGGCGCCGGTTATCTTTCCCTTAGATGGCGCCACAGAAAAATGCGGTCCCCTTCGGAACTAGCTCGCGCATTATCATTACGATTTTACCATAGCACATATAAACAAATCGCTGTCATATACACACGTGAAACATGCCGGAGACTTGCTGTTGCGTACCTGGTTGTAGTAATAGAGGTGGACATGCTTTCCCATCAGATCAAACGAGACGAAAATCATGGATTCACGCAATTAGACGAGGGGAAACACGTTTCCAGAGCTGGGAACCTTCTGCCTATGCCGTTGTGTGCAGATCGCATTTCAAAGAGAGCGATTATTTAGCAGAGACTGTTCACGGTAAAATTCTTTAAAAATCTTGTGTATTTCTTAATATTATCACAAATCAGTTTATTTTACATAAATTTATAATGCAGAAGATTAGTTTAGATAAAATGTTAAAAATGTAGGTATGAAATCGATAAAATTCAAGCATAGAATATAAATATAAAACGTTAGATTTCGCGGATTACATTTTTGAGGTTTTATTATTTTCTTTCAGTAAACTCCCGTAATTCTTTTATTTATGTTTTTCATTTCTCATGAACCAAAAATAGTTAAATTATATGATCGTAAACAACAGCTCTTGACATCAAATGCCAAGCCAGTACACCCCGCTGATTTGCACTATCGGAACATGCCATACATACGTAAATAACTGCCCTGTGTAAACATCTGGCATCGTAAATTTCTCTGTTCAATGAGACCACCTGTTGTTAATGAAGCCTTCTACTGCATTTGCTAATTACATATTAGTCTTATCCTCTAAACTGATTATCAAACAAGATTTAGCATCTTCAGTCTAACTTACATAAGTTACTTATATGTATATACATGTATACATAAATATTTTTTTTACAAATACACATGTTCATATTAATCATTAAATGTTTTCGATACTGAAAGGATAAAAACTTTGAAATATTTATTTTTTGCTTAAAAATATCAATATTATTTTCAGGAAATACACCTTTAAGTAAGAGGTTACGGAAAACAGCAATACCCAGTCTTTTCCAATGGGCAGATCCAACAAGCCCAGCTGTACTTGCTAGAGCTGACAGAGCTAGGACAAGGGGTGTCAAAAGAAAATTAATAATTTTAAAACTTGTATTGTCCCATCATATGCATAGTAAAGTAAATAAATTATTTTCATTACATATATACAATATTGGGTTTTATATTTGATGTTGGCTTTTCAAACTTGGTGCATCATTGTAACAATATGAAAAAAAATTGAATGCATCTTAATCTTTCAAATTTATTTTGAACAATGACAGTCTTCATAAGATTTGAAATAATTTTTTTCTAGAACAGCAGTCCTGAAATGATTTTCATAGAAAATATTCAGTTTTCTTATCATCTCTGAAATAAAATTATCATTTCTTTGAATTGGGAAAAATAAAATATCATTGAATGTATATACAATAAAGTAACATATTTTTTTCTCTGCACAAAAAAGTTGTCCCTGAACTTGATAGTAATAATCATGGTTTTTGTCCAATGAGAATTTGCCGTCATTTTGTCTATGTATGGGACTGTCTGTCTGGAGATCATTTCGTTCCTTGCAACATAAGGGCACTTCACTTCCACAACAGTGTCTTCGTTGATGATTCCATCCGGTGAAGCGGCCAAATACGGATTTGTAAGGCTTACACATATTCCTGTGTCATACACTGTATGTCCAGTAATGTCTTGGAATTTTTTTATGGCAACTTTTTCAAACTTTTGTCCATGGAGAATTGGTGCAGAATGAAGTTTGCGTTCTTTCGTAACAAGTGTCTCTGCTAATTTTACTTTGTCTGTTCTATCAGTCATTTTGCAAATTCTGCCAAACACAGAAGAGTGCAGACGCTTGCATCTTTCTTCATGCCACATATTGCATGCAGCCTGTTTTGCTGTATTTAAATTCAGAATTCGTGCCTCTTCTTCTGTAATCTGTGAAACATTTATTTCATTTAAATACGCATAGCTTCCTTGAAGAGTAAAGTAGTCATGGTCCACATCAATGCCCCTCATGTTTGCTGGAGGGAAAGTTTGAAATATAGGGGTCTTGCTTACTCCTGGATATGAAAGGCATACATTCTGGAAGTAAGACTTGTATCCTGGATTATTCCTATACTCGACTGGCCTAGGATCAAATCCATCTGCGAAATTACAAATTTCATCACATCCAGGCATGTCCAGGTTATTCGCTTTCATAGGGGTTCCTCTATGTGGCCTCACTCTATGAAACGTTTGCAGCCTTTGTGTGCATGTTTGTTCGGTTTTCACAGATCCATGTGTTTTGAATGAAAGGCATGCAAACAGTGCTGTGCATATATGTTTACAGTGTGCTAGAGGTCCCATTCCTGCTGCACACTCACACTGACATTCTGCAATACTGCCATCATTTTCCATTACAATATCTATAGTATAAACTACAGACTTTGACATCTCTGCTCTAATGGCACTCCTAACATACCATAGGGCATTGTTTTCAGTGGTACGGATGTACTTGATAAATCCATCGTTGTACAAATTCTTCGCTTTGGATTCTAAATTTTTATTGAACTGTGCCAAGTATGTTGTAATATTATCCATATTGCACCCAGGAAAATTCTTGTCACTGTTCAGATCTTCATATTTTTGAGGATCAGGTAGGACCATCACATAATCTTGAGCAGCAGCAAGGTCTGTCCTGGAGCAGTGAGCATTGCGTGTGTATGCCTCAAGCCTGTATAAAAACAAATAAGCTGTTGTATAACATTGATACATATGTGCCTATTTGACAATTTTTCTATGAAAAAAAAAATAACCAGGTTAACCATTGTTTCTCAAATATATTTCAGAAAGGCATATATTTGAAAAATTGCCAGAATATCATAAAATATTACGTATATTTTTAATTTATGCCCCGTAGAAAAAATGCCTAGGAAATTCGGGTTATATCGTAAAACCAGCTAGTTAAGTTCTGCAAAACATTTTGTCGCGTAAAATTATCAACTGAATTTAATAATTGTCTTTTCTATATTACATCTTCCTTACTTCTTGCTGAATTGAATAATCAAGTCAGTATTTTAAGTAAAACACGAATCATTGCTATGTTAAACATTGTTATGTTGCGTACATACCTTTCTACAAGCTCTCTTTTTCGTCCCGATTTTTTTGCACCAAATTTTTCGAGTTCCTTTCGTAATTCAGGAATAGTCATTGAACCAAAATTAGTTGCCATTGTAATGAATTTCCACTTAAGACAATATAAAACACGTTCGCTTTCTTTAAGAATACTGATACTGATAAGATGAAGAGATGCCATTATCAGCTGTTTTGTGTTGGACCGCATTTTCCTGTGGCGACCTCTCACGGTGCAAGATAAGATAACTAACTCCGGTGCCCCATTGGGAATTTACACTTCCTTAGGATCCTTCCATATAAATAAGACCGACCAAGGCTTATATTTACTAAAGAAGATTGTAAAAGGTTTTCCCAATGAATTAATTCCTATGTAAAACTTTGATCACCTATTTTGGCAAACTCATTCCCAAGAGGTCATGATTTGAACCTGAAAATACACTTCTCAAAGTTGTTTTCATATTAATATGACTATGAAAATTTAAAACACAACATAAAACCTGGTTCATTTATGTTTCACGCTGACTCATGCTTAAGCCAACGGCACAATACCCAGTAATGGCGCTAAATTTTAATAGCGATTTAAAAAAAAATGTTTACATATGAAAAGATAAATTGACGACGGACACCTTATTAAAACATAAGCTCTTCTTGTTTTTGACCAGTAGAGCTAAAAAATCAAAGCAAAAACTTGTCCAAACAATATTTATAAACAACATAAAAACGCACACAGCCTGTCTCTATAAGTTGCTTGGCGCCATCATAATATTTCTTTCTCAAAAGGGCTAAGAAGATCAAACCAAAAAGTTCAGATATCTTAACATTCAAATATCCATCTGAAATTAAAATTTGTATGGTCACAAGTAGGTAAATAATGTTAGAACCACAGAAAAACAAAACATTAATTATTAATTTATGTATCACAATTTATTAGCAAAAAGAATCAAGCATAATCAGTACTTTTATTTTTTATGTGTAAAAGTGTTTATATCTATTACAACTATAAGCATATTGAAGATTTCAAGGGGATATCTGAATATTAAAGAAATCTAAAGTAAAGACCTCTTCTTCCATCAACTTCGTCTGTATCTTCGTTGCTTGAATCTACAATATATACATATATAAAGATTTCAATATCTTCAGAATTTATTTAAGGTTGGTTTAATGTTATACTTTCTTCATAATTGATTTTCAAACTAGCTTATAATCATAGAAAAGTATTCTTCGAATCAGGCTTTTGTCATAATGTTCCAAAAATAAGAATTGACGTATAGATCTACAACTGAGCTAATGTCAAAGAAATTAAATTCGTAACATTCTGTCGTATGTAGAAATACATGTAAGTGATTTTTCTTTCAAATATACTACATGGTGTTCAAACGAATAGAAATATTTATGGGCATTTACACGTTGATACAGAAAAGAAATAGCGATACTGAAGTCTTTACCGAGAAAAAAAAAATCTCTCAGTGAATAATAATATTCAACAGCTCACAATGTTCCCAAAATAACTCAGTCCAAATAAACAAACTTAAAAAAAGCAAACTTTTGAAGTATTTTTGAATTTTTTCTTTTAAAGAGAAATTTTTGTTTAAAAGGACTGGCGGAACGAGTTATTGATTTAAAAGACAACCCCAGCCAGTCAAATCAATGATTCAAACAAGATATGTTTGTGAAACACTGATGCCCGCGTATGGTGATGGCGAGGGTTAAATTTCCTCAAATGCATATCATACTCCAAAGGTTAAAAAAGCCTTAAACATCGTTAAACAAGTTATGTGCAATGAAATTGTAAAAAAAAAAACAAAACTGTTAGATATATCAATGATAACATATAGATCTACGTAAGGAGGAAATTCGAGTTGAAATCTACAAAATTGTAACATCAGTTGACTTGCAATATTTGCTGTACTCGTGTTGATTTATATACTTGCCTTTATTGTTTTGAATATATACTTTGAACATTTTAAGATTTATTCCAAATTAAGGTGTAACTTTAAACGTTTCTTTATTAGTGTTTTTGAGTCTTAGGGATTATGAAGGATAACTTTTGCAAGTGGAGTTTTATACGCGATATTTTTCCTAATTGCATTTAAATTGATATTTTTATTTCATTGAAACATTTTTCATTCAATTTATCACATGGGTATTCAATCAGAAACCTTGTCTCTTTAGACTTCATTTTCCACATTATTTATGTACAGATAATGAGAAAACACATTTTTTTTAGGGAGGTGGGGGGCTTTTTTCAAATAAAAATAATGCCGACTACTGTTTGTGTACAAAATTAGGAGCACTCAAAATCTAGCACATTAAAAATATCTATGATATCGTAGCCTCTATTTGGATGTTTGACGTATGCATTATAAGTACAAAATAAGCTGTAATTGTAATGAGCCTCTTTCATCTGATTAGCTGAGAGATAAGATAATTAATTTGAACTATATTTTTCCAGAAATATATTTCTACAGTCAGCCCATAAACAATTGAATGAAATTAGCCACTGCCCCAATGGCAACGTATTGACTCAAGACCCCTGGTATTGCGCGGATGCCTCGGTATACAGTGATATGTTTATTGGCTATATTCATTTAATATATTTACGGATTAATTTTAACTTTAAAAAAATATGTCTCAGTTTAATCATATTATACGAGGGTTGTCCCGTAAAATCGTGGACAAAGCGTTTTTCTCGAAAAGTAATAGGCGCACTAAGCTGAAAATTTCAGTAAATGTTTATTTATCATATTTAAGTGCGTGATAATTTTTTTGATAAAATATACGCAAAAATAAAGATTTTATTATGCTTGAATGTGCACGGGGTATTGTCGTACGGCGCACGGTCAAAAAACCAAGGTTTTATTAAAGAATACAAAAGTTTAAATTCAAAATAAAAGTTTTAAATACATAAGATATGGATTAAAATTATCCTAATTCAATTCCACAATCAATTTTGTAGTCTTTGTAAAAATTTTAAGCCATTTGGTTAATTTTTGGCAGTTTCTCGAGCATTCGAAATGAGAAAGTGGTAAACACAACACACGAAAAATGACGACGTTTTATGACGTTACGGCGCACCGGAGAGCAGTTCAATTTTAATTCGATGTTGTAATGACACTTTTAGAGACTTGAAATGACCATAGAAGAAAAAAGAGTATAAAAATATCACCATATCTTAAGTATACAAATGAAATAGGGTTTTTTTTTTATCGAAGTCTTTTTTGATCCAGTCCCTGGGGAGTAAAAAAAAAACATACGGACAAACATCTTATGTAATAGCAAAAGAAGCTGTCACAGTAGACCGCCGATATGAGATTTTCAGTTAGTTGAATGATGGTGAGAAAATTGTCCGTAACTTACTAATAAATCTTCAGAAGATCGCATGAGGGTGCCAATTGGTTCTTCGACTGTTTATGGAGACTAAAGAATGTGTATCAATGAAATTCCTAAATTTAAGTCGGACTCATGCAACTTCATTGTCAGCAAAGATAAAACGTGACGCTGTTTTAGACACTTTGACGTGATAATCCATGCGCCGTAAGGTGATACAATACATGGCATAAAATCTCATAATTTGTTTATTTATGCATATATTTATCTGTAATTTGCTGTGTATATTACTAAAATATGTACTAAATAATAGTGAAAATTTCAGAACGCAGTGATGTTTATTTTTCAAACTAGACAACTTGTCCACGATATTACGGGACAACCCTCGTACAACCTATCAGAACCTGATTGGTTCTAGCTAAATTTTTACGTGACTTGGTCATAAAGTATATTTTTCTGTCGTCGGCATGCTTTCCATCATATTTTACCTTTACGAATACCTAGTGTATTTCCCGCAGTAGTTATCGTGCTGAATTCAAAAATGTTATCTTAATATTTAAAGGTTACCTGTATGCCTGTTTCGGTATAATTAACAATTTATTACATGAATAATCGGGAACCATGAAGATTTATTCAGTCATACATGTAATCACATTCCCCGTGGCCTTTAATATGAATTTTCTTGTCTGACTAAATTGTAATAGTTTTGTTATGCAATAAATGCGTTTGAAAAAAAGTCCCGGTAGATTGGAATGTTACAGTCTATTCTCCTTTGAAAGGAGATATTCCCATTCCATAACTGTTTTATTATACCGAAACAATCATAGGCGAAATCTTTATTCTCCGACATTTAAAAAACACTGTAGAGGCATAATCACAATTGCATGAGGTTAAAAAGATTGTGTGATAACTAATGCACCGTGTCGGAGAACATTTAAATTATTTTAAAAATGTAATTTCACATAAATTTCGAAAAATTATATTTGTCTTCATTTTGCTAGAATTCAAGTGTATGATTTTGACATCGAATGTCAATATGTTTTGACGTCATATTTACATTGCTAATAAAATTACGATACAGACTCGAGATTCCTTGACGGAGCGCCCACTGAACAATTTGATTAGTCAAAATTACTAATAAATATTCATGAGGAATTTGTCTAACGGAATAGCTCTGATTTTTCAAGGAGTAGTCCTCATATGAGGGAAATAATCTTTCTCGGGGAAATAGGCAGTTTTATGGTATTACATTTATATAGAGTAATAACGGTAGAGGTATAATAAAATCTTCTGTCATGGGTTTGCGTCAAAGAACGCTGTCCAATAAACCTATAAACATTGTGGAAATGTATGCTATTGGAAAGGGTATAAGTGTTCTCTCTTAGTGTCAAACGCACAACTGTGTTTCATTGTACCTTCATTATCTCCGTCACATGATTTTCTTTCTTTCCATTTTGGAACAGTGTATGCTGACTTTGTCTTAGATTCCAATTCTCTCCATAGACCCTCTTTAAAGTGTTTAACCATATTCTAAAAAAAGTGTCATGAAAAGATTTGCCAAATTAAGAAACTTTTTGAATATATGGCTATAACTTTTTCGGTATAATAAATTATTACATTTGTAGTATGGTGAAATTTATTGTGTACGCACTTCCTCAAAAATGTACTCGATTGATCGGTGGTTGAAGGATGCTGTAATGGCGTTCTTTGGAATTCTCCACTTCCCAGTTTTCATCAAATACATGGACAGTGCATTTGGGTATACTCGTGTGTTGCAGCCCTGAAGCAAAGAAGGATTGGGAAAAAAGTATTATGTTTTTATCTTGAAGAAAAATTTTGTCATACTTACAAAAATATCTTTTTCTGACTCAGCGTTACTGTTCATGAATACTGCAAGAAGAAAAAAGAAACAGGCACAGTCAACAGCTATAAATATCATATTGAATATAAATACCAGTTTGAGGAAATGTACGGAGTTATATTTGATAGTTCAGATTTGTTAAATGCGTAAAAACAAATTGAAAACCTTGTTATAACGGATAAAGTCATTTAACTTCTTGAACATAAATATAACAATGCAATTACAAAATATCTGTTCATGAAAGGAAGTTTCTTTGAATGAAAAAAGAGTGTGACGTTTTCACCCTCTTTTCTCATTCTTTGAAAGAAAGAAACTTCATCTCATGATCAGATACTCTGTAATTGCATTGTTATATTTATGTTCGAGAAGTTAAATGATTCAAATCTAGATCCAATAATTTCTCATCAACCTACTTATACATTTCAGATGTTGTTTCTCTTAGTTAGATGTGATGTACAAAATCTGCTTAATTGTACTGTAATTTCTAAATTTAATGTAAAGTACTGTTGATCTATATATATTTTTATGATGTAAAACAAACTGATCTGTAATTTGATATGGATAAGGGGGGGGGGGGGGTTTAACGATAAATGGAAAAGTAATAATTTCCTGGGTGTCTTTGTGTATTCATAAAACCATCTTTAATATTTAATACAATTAATATAACGAAGAGTGAAAAGACGACACTGTTATATGCTGAATAAGACACCCACCCCCGCCTGGATGACCCTAAGTCAAACTAAATTTTTTAAAGCAAGATATTCACACGGTGTTGTGATAATTTGGCACCTCGAAATTTACTAGGATCCAAACAGCAAATAAACAAATCAGGCAAAAACTGTCAATGTGCTCAAATATGATTTGGTGTTGAATACAGGGATTTAAAATAATTTTTTAGATCAAATTTTCATAGAAATTACTTTACTGTTTATTTAAAATCAGGTGTTTTGGGTGTATATTCTGAAATTCATTTTTTTTCTCAAAAGAAATATTTCATTATTATTTTTTCCATGAAAATGATGCAATTAATTTATTTTCATCCATATACACTTACAGTAATACTTAAAGAAAGTTTAAAAAAAAACCTTTCACGACTGTACATGTCGTCGTCTCTTTGTATTAGTCCGTAAAACATCTATTGTTCATTTTTCACAGAATTTTATGTCAACACGATTTTAGGGAATTATAGAGTTATTGTCCTTTGATTTTTTTGCTACATTTGTGAGAGTATCACTTTGATTTTTAAGATTTATAAAGTTCAGTTTGTGAAGACATAACATTTTGTACTGAAATACACACATATATACCAATTATTATAGTAATTTTTTTTTCTTATAGTTAAGTATTTTATTCATGTGCAGTGTAAACATTTGATGTAATATTATGTTATAATGCATTGATTGTGCAATAATTATTCTAAAATTGAGTGGCATGTTGCAAAACATCAAGATTTATCAAATGATCACGCAAAAGTTTAGCGTTGCCAAATAGAATAATAGTTCCAGTAGTTTGTTCTAGTCATTCGTCATGTTATGTTACTTTCCAGAAATCTTTTTTGATGTAATTTCAAGTATTTTTTTCTTTTTTTCTCTGCTTTTTTTTTCCGATTCATTGTAGTTTTAGATCTTAACCATATTTTCATATCTTAACTATATTTTCATAGAGCAATGAATGATTAAACTTGATGCAACTTGTACATTCTAACATTTATTACAATAATAAAAGTTCGGTTCAAGCCTAGTATTCCGACGGTCCGATAGTCCGACAGCCCAGTAGTCCGACGGTCCGATAGTCCGACAGCCCAGTAGTCCGATAGTCCGACGGTCCGGTAGTCCGACATTTTGACCATCAACAAAATTGTAAAGAGTTAAAATTAATCCTATCAGACATTATTTCAAGGAAATTACGAAAAACCGCCAAAACCGACAGGGTCTGATCATGTAAATAAATCAGACAGCTTCTTACAAAGCTTTTAAAGCGTGAACTAAAAATCAGTGAAACCCAGCGTAAAGTATTAAAAATACACATTGCATGCACATGAAGTACAGTCAAATACATGTACTTAAATGACCATAATCAAAGCAGGGAGGTATGGTGCGCCGTTTTTTTAATTTTTAAGGTATTTTTTTATATCTAAAAACCATTTTGTTACATCAGAAATTTGAGTGATTTTTTTTATATCAAAAAATTCATTTTCTGATATCAAATAATCATTTTCTGATATAAAAAAAATCCTCGGGATTTATATCAAAAAACATAATGTATGAATAAAAAATTCGAATTCTTGATATCAAAGAATTGATTTCTATGATGCGCCGTTTTCATATTTTTGAGGTTTTTCTGATATCAAAAAAGAAATTCTTGATATCATTTAATTTGAATTCTTGATATCAAAAAATCATTTTCTGATATCAAAATTTCGAATTCTTGATAACAAAAAAATATTTTTAATATCAGAAATTAGAATTTGTGATATCAGAGAATGAATGACTTTTATTTTTTTTTATATCAAGAATTCGAATATTTGATATCAAGAACTCGAATTTTTTTTATATCAAAAATTACTTTTTTGATATCATAAAATCCATAAATCCCGAAGATGTTTTGTTATCACAAAATGATTTCTTGATATCAGAAATTTGAATTCTTGATTTAAAAAAAAAAAATGATTTTCTGATATCAAAAAATCGAGTTTTTGATATAACAGCATTTTCTGATATGAAGAATTCGAATTATTGATAACAAGAATTTCTTTTTTGAAATCAGAAAATACCTCAAAAATACTAAAACGGTGCCTCATACGGAAGTTGCTTTAATTGAAACCTTAAATCATTTTTTTTACATTAAAGGACACATATTACCTAGCTCTAAACCGATTTGCTTTAAAGTCCGGCGAAAACAAAACAATTATAATAGTTTTTCTAAATATATGTGCTAAAAAAGCTTTTTATGTTAATGCAGTCCTTATGGTTATATCTCGGTCAACTCCTTGACATGACAAAGTTCTTACCTCATTTTGAAAACTCTCGGAGTACATCATAAATTCTGTTGTCAATGAAATTATAAAATATATAAAAAAGATATTCTGGACGATTATGAAAGACATGTTTTTTAATTCTGTATCATAAATCAAACAAAACAAAATGAATATATGTTACAATAAGCTGTCATCCACAGAATATGAAATAGAAGAGGCCCAGGGGCCACATCGCTCACCTGAGCAATTTGCTAGGAAAAAGCGCATGCATATCAGATCAGAACTGAAAGTTAACTGAAAGGGGGGGGGGGGGGGGGCTTGATTCCACATGAGTTTCATATTTCCTGCCCTAGTGGTTATTGAGAAGAAGATTTTTTTAAATATGCCATTAATTTCTCTCTAATTCATAATTATACCCCAGCTCCGAAGGATACTGTTTTACCCTTGTGTACCTGTCTGTCCGTAACAAATTTTTCGTCGCAGTTTTCTCATCAACCTATCATAGCAGATGCTTGAAATTTTAGTACACTGTTTGTTTAGGCATGCCATATGGTGGGATTAAGTTTGATATGAATGTGATGTCAACTTCCTGTTTGTCTGTGCATCTGTCTGTAATGGAACTTGTGTACATAACATGATAGTGTTTATTCACATCAGAGCGGGGTTTTTCCTAGTAACCATTGGCTCACAGATTTCTTGTTATCTCCCCTTTAAAAAAGGGCATGGCCCTCATTTGAACAAACTTGAATTCTCTTTACCCAAAGATACGTTGTAGCAAGTTTGGTTAAAATAGGCCCAGTGGTTCTCGAGAAGAAGATGAAAATATGAAAGGTTTACAACGATGACAATGACGACGACGGCAGACAACGGACAAATTTTGATCAGAAAAGTTCTATTGAGCCTTTGGCTCAGGTGAGCTAAAAAAGAAAGAAATTATACACTTGAAGGAAACGGATAATTTAATTTGCTTACTAATTTACATAATGATTATAATTGAATGTTTTATATAATAGTAAAGATAAGACTTTTCTGTAAATCAAACAATTAAACTCTTTCGCGTTTCAAAGATATTTAAGATAACAGAGGAAGTTCAGAATCAATCTATCTATAGAAAAAATAGTTTATTCAATTTCTAATAGTTGATGTTTTTAATAAGAAGGTAAATCACATGATACATCATATATATCTACAACTTATATCGTATTATTACCTCAGACAAACCATATATAACTTTAAGAATCACTAGTGTAATACTAAAATATTTTCTGCCATTCAACCAGGGACGTACGTAGCATCGTTTTGAAAAGTGGATAAAAACACAATTCAAATTATCACAGAAATAAAAAAAACAAATAAATTGCTGTAAAAACCCAAGACTTCGATTACGGGGGCATAAAAAAGAACAAGATGTGTTTGTGAAACACGAATGCCCCCCGTATGGCAACATGCCAAATGCAAATTTCATATATTGGTACCAAAAGTAGGGTATTATCATTGGAAATACAATTGTGAAATAGTAAAGTAAGCCAAGGTTTAAATATTTCATAAGTACAGAAATCTTCAAGGTCAAGGTCATTGGTATCCTATGAAAGGCCTAGCCACAAAAAATACACATGTAACGTATGGAAGCTCTAGCCCTTACCGTTCAGAAGTTATTGCCAAGGTTAAAATTTTGAAAAGTAGGTCAAACTTCAAGGTCAAGGTTGAATGATTGATTTATATTGTTTAACGCCGAGGCAGCAATATTATAGTTTGCAGCTAACTGTAAAGTTTCACGTTACGTCACAATCTTTTTCGTCAGATGCATCCAGCGTAAACAATTCATGTGATTGGTCAACTCAAATTATCAACATTGACACGGAAATAGTCTGTTGCACGAGCAACCAATCAGGGGTAAGAAGAAAGTTCCAGTCGTAAAGCATGCGGATAGGAGGCGTGTGCAATTTACCTCGAGTGCAGCTGCCAACTAGATCGTGACGTAACGTGAAACTTTACAGTTAGCTGCAAATGATAATATTTCAGCCATATTTCGGCGGACAAGTTTGTTTATTG